AAAAAAAAAAGGTGAAGTCAGCGCATGCGCAGAGCGACGCGCAATCAGACGATATCGCTCGTTTACAGAAACGTTCGACAAATAAATACCTCCATGACACGAGTGACAGGCCTTGGGACAGTAAATTGTCATATAGTCGGGGTTCTTCGTACATTCTCTGAGTCGTGCCCATTCCTCGCAGTTCCTGTTATAATTACCGCATTTTGAATCTGCTGAGAAAAGGAACAGAAACTGGAAACATAACCTAAAATTCTTAATTTCTTATTATTAGATAAATTAAAGATTGAAAAGGCTGAATAATGGAAGTCCTCGAAATATTTTTTTGCATCTTCATTTACAGTAACATGAATTTATTATCATCACAGAAATACAGCTTCCAAGCTCCCCGTTTCTCCTGTCAGCAACGAGAAGGTTATTTAATTTCTGAAAATTAAATCGATGTAAATTGAAATGTTACGTTTACCACACAGCCTGCAAGACTTTGCACAGTTCACGTTCATCCATGCTGGGTTCTTCGTACATTCACCATTGTTGGCCCAGTGTTGACAGAGCCTATTGTTATTAGAACATTCATCTGTAAGAGAAGTAACACTGACAATAATACACGAATGTCAGATGTTTGTCGTTATTTCATATCATCTGAGGGATCAAAATATTCTATACGTAATTTTAACTCAGAATACCGGTACATAACCTAAAATTAAAATCTGGACTTATCATTAATACTTTTCAGACTCAAAAAAGTCTTAATTAGAAATTTTAAAATGCTTAAATTACACTTTCATTACGTCTACACTCGTTATTGCTCTGCCTCTGATTGTTACCATGGTAATTAACAACAATACTAGTCTGCAAGCGTAGGTTAAGTAAGCCAATCTCGTACTGAATCTCGTGTGCCTCGAGATTCAGTACGAAAAGTTGTACTGAGTACGAAGTTCGTGTCCGAGTTAACACTTACAAGGTTTAGACGTCACAGGACCCGTAGGTACCAGAATTCCTTTCTGACACTCGTAGAGTCTGTTTAGTTTCAACAGATCAATCTGAAAGAGATAAGTGAACTTAAGTTTTTCTTCGTATTATTGTCATTTTATAGCTACTAAATATAATCAAATTTGATTTTGGGGGAATTTTATTAAAATTTTGGTTGAAATTGGAGAAAATAACAGATGTCGTACGTGAAAGGTCATTAATTCCTGACGGCCCTGCTGCCACTAGCATTATTTGGAAGGTTAAATTTTAAATTATCGCAAATATGTCAGAATTGTTAAACTATACGTACGTCTCCCCACGGTGTTTATGTGTAAAGTGAGGTTAGTTCTGTCATATGATTGCGTAGTCTTGTAATAATTACGTTAGTTAAAATTTACCTGACTAAATCCTCTTCTTTGACCGATATTGGCATCGGGATTTCTAGGTACAATCGTAGGAGATCGATAATCTTTGGAGAACGCGTATCTGCCATAGTGCATCAGAGATCCTGTTTACGAAATAATTTAATAAAAATATATTATTACTAAATATATTCGATATTATCATTACGTAACTTCTTAAGGAACTACAAAATCAGTAACTCGGTACTTCGTAAAGGAAGAAATTTCATTATAAATTATGTTATTCCGATAATTTTAAATCAGTGTTTCAGCAAGTAATTTCGGGAAGTGAATCTCTTTGGTTTTGTAAGGAGATAACAGTAAAGATTTAAATTTAAGTAAATTTTTGGAATATTTATATCTGAAAATGAAGGTATATAAAAAGACGTATATTTTTATTTTTAATATTTTAATATTGGGTGTTAAAGGATTTTTCGTCTTTATACGCTTTGTCAAATTAAAGAATGAAAGGATAATATTATTAATGTGTACCTGTGTCATACGAGACTCCAAGACTCTGCATCATGTGCCAACCAAATTTTTGAAAATTATGTTCAGTTCCTGTGAAACAGAAAAAAACAAGATCCAGATATTAAGCTACTCTGAAAAATTATGTAGTTAATATTCTTATATAGATGTGTGTGCAAATGTTATTGCTGTTTTGTGTGGGTGTGAAACTTGATCTCTCACACTGAGGGGAAGACACAGACTGGGGAGGGTATACGAGAACAGCGTGCTTAGGAGAATATATGGACGAGGCTGGAGAAAACAGGGCAGTGAGGAGCGTAATCTGTACTCTTCGCTAAATACTAGGGACGCTCAAATCAAAGGCGGATGAAATGGGCGAGGAAAACAAGAAATGCATACACAATTTTGGGGAGATCGGATGGAAAACCTAGGGGTTGACAGGAGGATAATATTAAAACTGATATCAGAAAAAGAGGGATGTGGATTGGATTAATCTGACTCACGATACAGAATCATGGTGGATATGGATTGGATTCATCTGACTCACGATACAGAATCATGGTGAGCTCCTGTAAACAAAGAAACAAACATTTTTATTGTTGTATGATATCCATATTTTACTTGATTTCAATAAAGTAATATTTTGTAGAGATGAAGAAGGTTAAGGTCGAGTGTAGATTTTAGTAGCATTAAACGTCTTCTTACCTGGCACAATGTTGTTCCAGAGGATTCTAACATATTCATCACGGTCTCCACGGCTCTGTTCGTGCCAAAAGCCACAAGCATGCATCAGCTCATGTTCAACAATACCCTTGTACAAACATCCTGCTCCCAGCGACACCTGCTGTCCACCGCCGAAACGTCCAACCAGACTGCTGCAACTGGGAGACAGCAATGAGCGACCAGGAACAGTTTGCATTACGTCAGCATTCGTATAAACGCATTTTACTCTTGTGTTTCACGTTCTTGGTGGATTACTGGGGCTCGTCTGCTGGGGTTTCTATGTGCATTTCCTTTGAACTACGTCTTACCGTCATTGCCACCCAAACTGAACCGATTAATTTGCGTATTATTTATCCTCTGGTTCAGATTTAACTTAAACACAATTTGCCCTTAGACCCCGCGCTCTATATTAATCTTGTATATAAATTCAGTTTTGTTTCTCATTCCTTGAAGTAAAGAGAACTTCTGCCATTTTAATTTAATAGTTTACCTCCGTGGCATCCCAACAATTACTCCATTCACACACAGAAGAAGGCAATGGCAAACCACTTCTGGATCATCTGCCAAGAACGTATATGAACAGGTCCCAGTCCGAGAAAAGGATGGAAGGATCCTGTTCATATGGACCTGTCGTCAGACAGAACACTAAATAATAATAAGTATTAACAACATGGAGCCGGGATAGTGACTGGAAGACCGGGGTTCGATCCCGACGGGGCCAGAGGATTTTTCCTCTAGCCTCTAGCCCACCCAACTTCCTGTTCTGCGGACAACGCCGCTTTGGAAACGCTGGTCTAAGAATCTGTTAGAAAAATATGCTGTTATAGAAAGTATAAGTGAGAACTTTTACTAATTGGCATACACGTATATGTCAAAATTTTGGGATGGTTTTTAAGTCTGCATGAATTCTGATAGAAAGTGTAATTAGCACAAAATAAAATAGAGGAACAGCTGAGGAAACATGAAATTAGAGTAAAATTTATTAATAGCAAATATTTTCTGTGTTAAATGTTTAATTACTTACCCAGCCCCCTTCTGTAAGTGTATGTAGTCCCACTGAGTTGTACGAGGGACAAATCTGATACACGTATAAGCATAGAAGTCGAGAACAGCCGCTGCTATTACACTCCTCTCATACACGCCTGAAAATTTACCATTAAAATCAACAGAGTGTAGTACAATGTACGGTCAGACAAGAGTCTTAAATAATATATTTAGTGAATATAATATAAAATACATGAAGAGTTTATGCAGCGTAGTTTAATGTAACTCATGCATTGAAAAGTAAAGTTTACTTCTTACTGAAAGAGCTTGAGATGACGTAAGGAATTATTCCCCCTGGCCAACGCTTTCTAAAGTCTCTGATGCCATTTTTACCAAACGAAATTAAATCAGAAATATTGACGCCGGCAATGTCACCCTCGAAGAGGCCGGCTGACAGTATCGGATCAGGGGAACCTTCATCTTGTGGAGGAACTAGGATCTCTGTAACATAATTTAATGCGGAACTTTAAAGTAATATTTTGAACTATTGCTACTAAAATGCTATGAGCAGGTAATTAAGTTAAAATTATTTGAATGTTTAATAACGTGTACTATCTTGAAGTTCTGTGACTCTACATGATGTAATCTGTCAGCTGACACAAAAGAAATATTCTTTTTTGGAAGTAGGCCTATGCTTTACGCATGTCAGAGTCCGACTGCACATGTGTGTTTAAAAAATTGTCATTTTCATACTCGCAGCTGGGAGAACCTCAGATCTCATTCAAACGTACGTGCGTGCTACATACCCAGATTTTTAGCATTTTCAAAGTCCTGGGGTGTCAGAGGTTCTCCGGGCACTTCCTTTTCCTGAAAATATAGAAATAAATACGTAAAGGAGGGTTCATTTGTAACTTATATTTCCTGAGCATCAAACAACTTGAATGAGAGTAGTCACAACGTTACATACGTTCATAATTCTGACTCCTTCCTAACTCCTTCCTAACACGAGTTTACCAACGTCGTGGTCGAGTGGTTAGAACTTTTACTTCATATTCTGGAAGTCCCGGGTTCAAATCTCGGCCTGACAACCTACTATACTGGTTTTTCATGGTTTTCCTCAGCCCCTCCAGACAAATGCCGGGATAATATCTTAAATTAGACGACGATCACTTCCTTCCACATCCTTTCCAATTCATTATTCACTATCATCTTCTCATTCGACGCTGTATAGTCTGAGCAACTGATAAAACGTCGTTAAATAAACTATGGATAAATGAATCTGAGTTACTGTACTCATGAGAATGTTGCATTACTTTTTTTTCTTCCAATGTGGTTACTACAGTTCTCAAATTGCAGAACAAATGAAAAGTGCTGTTAATATTTCTCATAGTTTTACGATTTCTCTGTGCGGAGATTGTGTTCGCTTGGGGGCGCATCCAGCGGCAGACAGGGCGAAGCGATACCCACTGTTAAAAAGTTCACAGAAGTTTTAAGTGAGAACTTTACTGTGGAATTCCTATGACGAATAAAATGAACAAGTTCTTAAACAGAAATGCCTCTTTCTTCTTATTTGCTTATAATATGAAACTGGGGTAACATAATAACAGCGAAAAATTCTTATCATTATAAACTTCGAAGTATAAGCCCACTGGTCTAACCATCTTATTCCGGGTCTACCTACATTTCTTCTTCCTTTCCTTTAGGATTTAACCGTGCTCTATTCTATCTAAAGGTTCTTGTCAGCTACTTATTTATTTATTATTAATGCAGAATAACTCTTAATTTAGCTTAAGATATCGTGTGAACTGAGTTTGTATTTGTGCTAAGTGTCATTCGGGAGACAACTGTAGTTTTGAGAAATATATTATTTAAGAAGATGTACCACAGTTTACCACTCTAACCCCATCATAATAACAATTACCTGTCTCCTCACACTATATCTTCGCTGTAATGTCCTAAGAATATTTGTATGTGCTTCATAGGGAACTGATAAAAATACGTTCTGTTATTTCGTCAATTTTATCCTCAGTTGGGACTTGCACAATTAAAACGAATATCATTACCCCAAAGTGATGTTGAACATCTCCTACTGTACGTCCATTAAATCAGATATTACTGTGCTATTTACCCTTGCAACTCGTTTCAAAGTACCTGTCCTATAGAAACTCACACAAATACCACGTCCTTTACCGTAGCTTTGGTCTTTTGTGACATTACGTAGAGGTGAATACACGAGTCATGTCTTATGCCTGCACAAAATGCATCAGAGTTGTGTGTTTTCTTAAGATCTATCAGCGTACATGATAGAATTAACCTATATTCAGTGGCGCTAGTGTCCCGCCCACCACACAACTTCATGCACTATTATTAATATTAGTCACAACGGGAAACCAAAATGTACAATTTTAAGGCCGTCTCCAACCTCCAAAGTATGTTCGTCCACCATTTTGATAATAACGATTATAATAAATTAAAACGCATTATTTTAATAGTTCCGTACCAACAGATGAATCAGAGTACGTACATATTTGTTAGCCTCCATAAAGACGTGAGCTAATGAAAGTTCAATGTGAAAAAAATATTTATTGTAACACATAACTCCTTGTTACACTTACCGATTCTGGAACTCCTGTCGGTAAATCGACCAATGACCCTCTTGAATCCTCACTTATGGCTACTGTTTCTCCAACACCAAGCGCGTTCTTCTGCAAGTTTTCGTAATCGTTCGGATAATCTGTGATTTCGTCACCTCCAACATCCCACAAGGAACTTTGTAATACTTCTGGAATGTCGCTGTTTTCCAGAAAATCTATAACTGGGTCTTTCTCTGGTTCATTTATGGCGTTTTGTCCCTCCTCGTAAGGCATTGGTAGTGGCGATGGAATTTGTAACGCATCTGAGCCATAAGGATTCCGGCGAAGGTAATACGTTTGAGTGGATGGCAAAAACAATATTACCAACACCATAAAGATTAGATCTGTAATCATGTATTTCACTTCTAGTCGTTTATTTTCCATTGGAAATGCCCCTGTCGTAACTGTAAAGTACTGGAACAAATACGATTTAAAATTTAAGACATTAAATTATTTCTATGAAAATTTATAATTATGTAATTAATACCTAAACATATAACTACAAATATGTCATCATAATTCAAAAAATTCTTTCTATAATAAAGAAGGTTGCTGACATACAATTCTCGAGTGATTATAAATGCGTTTCCAAACGATATAATTAATTTGTTCTTTATTCCTTTATATTATCTGTCAATTTACTTATCAACAAAATATTAGCGGGTCTTTCTGTACATACTGTATCGATCAAACAATAGCTAAATCAACCGATTAAGCATTACTTAATGAGCGTTTATAATAAGATACAAGACTGGTTTATTAATAACGATCTGGTATCATGCTGCCATCTCTGTCCATTGTCTGGAGTTTAGATTATGTCTACAAATAATTAGAACCTTCGTAGACGCCATCAGAAGTCCAGACAATGGACGATGACCAGGGAACATCCTAACCACGAAAATGTGTTTCAGAGAAAAAAACCAACTAAATAATAGTTTGTCCTGTTCGTCAGCCAATCAATGCATCCATCCAACCATTCATCCTCATTCGTCCATCCACCTAAACATCAGTCATCCATGAATCCACAAACTCGTCCAGCAAAACTCGATTCTCGCAACACAGAAATCTACGTCCAAACATAACAGGCGCCACTGTTAATCTCCCTCAGAGGGTCGTGTGTCTCCAACGCATTACAACACTGAACTGACATCGACGTTCATACAAATATCTGACGTACCACAAATCACGTGAGGGCTCTTTACCACGAGCGTTACAAAATACTGTCGGGGTTCGTGCGTGCGTTGCTCAAATTTATAGAACCTCGGATGACAGGTGTGTCTGCTTCCGTAGGAAGGTCACCATTAGAACGGGACGAGCCATAACGAAACTCGATGACCCTTGCCACGTGTTCCTCCCGCCACTCCAGTAGCAATGCACGGAGTATTTCTCAACAACGAAGAAGGGAAGAGGACAGATTTAAACAATAAACAGTAGAAATATTACTTTTAATTAACACCAACAAGACAGCCTTTGAGTGCCTCTCGCTTAACGAGAATGTATACAGAGACAAAGCGAGCTTGTTAAGTGAGGGCATAGCCTATATGGAAACACGCATCTATCATCAATATTTATCGATTAAGTTCAAAACATAATTATTACGGGATCAAAACTCAGCATGAAAACTTGACATGAAACATTTAAAAATATCACCGTCATTTTGTGCCTTACATAAATTCCCTAAAAATTATCACATAACAACAGAGACGTTACGTAAAGTAATTGAACTATTTTATCCTAACTTGGATGACATTTCGCAGCTGTTAAAGAAGGTAAATGTATCTGAAGTCGCTAGAAAGGTAAGATTGGAAAAGTGTCCTCACTGGAGTACACAAAATTTACAAAGGTATTCTTTACGCTGAATCTGTGTATACCCGTTCCAAGTTATCTACAGATTTCCTCAAATGGGGTCTTTACGCTGCATCTGTGCGTACCCGTTTCAAGTTATCTACAGATTTCCTCAAATGGTAGAAAACTTCATCAAATGCTATGACGTCATCACCCATCCCGGAGATAATTATGGGAAACATCTTCATGTCCCACCTCAAAATTTTGCTTATCCGTGACGTTGACATATCCAATTGTATAAAATTAAAAGGGGGTGATTTTAAATCAGCCTCAAATGACATAATTAAAATCCATTCAGCCATTCTAGAACAAAAAAAGGACGCCACAGGAGACGACCTTCGTCAAGGCAGGTGACGTAATCAAATACTATGACATTCACGCATGAGCAGAGGATCATGGGTAATGGCGTCCCCATCGTCTCACCACACGACTTTGAACATCCGTCACTCGGTGTTACCAATTATAAGAATTTAAAAAAATACAACTATGAACGTTACTCCTGGGACTTAAACTCGAAAGGAGATGTCATGAGAATTCTTCCTCCGTTCTAAGTCACAACATGGCTGAAACTGTAGTTCCTATGGTCACCGATAGATGGTAGCAAAATCTCTTCTTTTTCAGCTGAAACACGTGACAGACTGACTGAATGAACGGGGGCCATAACGTACAGACAGCGAGATTGTCCGATTCAAAAAAATCTGATGAATTAATTGGAGACTCAACAGCCCAGCGTTGGTTCAGTGGCAAAACTATGAAAGTGGTTAATGCTTCAAAACTCTGTTTGTGGCCTGTCAGGTTCGAAGCTCGGTCAGGTTATCGGCTATCCTGTTTCAGGGTTTCCCATGTAATTCCTCAGTCCGTCCAGGTGAATAGAACGTCAATCATACTCCTGCTTCCTCCTTCCAAGTCCTTACCTGCTCTGATCCACATTCGACACCAAATAAATGTCATAGCTGAGTTTGAATCGATGTCTAATTCACAGTAAATAAACCTCTCTCGTCACATCTGACGCTGCAAAACACAGTCGATACAACGTCGTTTAATGATGCATAAAAACTGTCATCGTTAAAATAAACTAGCGTGGTAACAGAATTTCGTTTGTGTGACGTCATTACGACGCAAAAGTTGGTGTTGCTATGTGGCGCCCACTCGAGGCTGATTAACTTGTTAGAACACCGAGAGGGATTACGTTCAATCAGGAGTTGGAAATTGGGGTTGAAAAATTAAAAAAAAAAGTTTCGGTTATCTACAGAAACGAACATTTTTTACAGTTTTGAGCGATGATTTCTTTTTTGAGGTTTCCGCGTTACGAACGCATGAGTGATTATTCAATATTGGCAGACTTAATGAGCTTAAGAAGTGCAAAGTTCCGAAACGTCGCTTTGTGTCTGCTGTTAGAATCCTCCCACGTATTTTGAAAAGGGGTTCTGCATTTTACTAGGCTGTATTTAAGTCAGATACTAGAATATTTTGTAACATTCTGTGACTCGGTTTTATCCAGACAGTTTGGCGAACAAGAGATTCTTATAACCCGGAAAAATCACATGTTGACACACGTATTTGAAAAAGACCAATACTCGGCTAAGGCGGGCAGCCGACAATGGCTGAATACCGGAAATTAAATCATTTGTGTTCTTTCATAAATTCTTTTACAAGGATTATTTATTATTAAGTGTTCTGTCTTACGACAGGTCCATTGCTCTGCCCAAAAAGAGCTCTCCAGTTGTCCCTATTCTCGGCTTCTCGCTTTAATTCCTGGAACGTCATCTTCTTTCCTTGTTTAAGGTCGTCGGTTAGCTGTATCAATCTTCTTCCCAGTCCTCGCTTTCCTTCAACCTGGCCTTCGATGATATCACTCAGTAACCCATTCCTTCTCATAATATGTCCCAGCCAGTTAGCTTTCCTTCGTGTAATCGCCTGCAGAATGTTTCTTTGCTCGTTGACTCTCCTCAATACTTCTTCGTTGGTCACTCGATCCGTCCGCCTGATCTCCTCCAACACCACATTTCAAAACTCTCCAGGTATTTCTGTTCCTTCTTCCTGAGTGTCCAAGTCTCTGCTCCATACAGCGCGACACTCCATACGTAACACTTCACTAGTTTCTTTAAATAAAAATGTGATGTAACACGAGAGGTGTGCGTCTGTGATGTCCCAAGATCAACACTTTTACATATAAATTTCCTCGACAGTTTTTTGGATTGAAATCTTCCAACAAAATATTCCTAAGTTACGTAAGGGATTGAGTAAAGCTAACACCCATTACAGTTTGTAATAAAATCTGTAATCTGTAGGCGTATCATTACATGATTCAGCGATATCACATAAGCACCATAAACGATACTCGTAGTACACATGACATCCGGTCAGTAACAAACTCTCCGGAAATAACACACTTTATAAATAGGGCAGAAGAGTGCTCTATTCTTTAATTAAATAGCTCAGCGGAGAAAATTATTTACTAAGGACCTCCGTGAAACTGATACAAGAAAATGTGTTGGGCGAAAATTGTCTCAGCAAAGCAGATAATCAGTTCTTATTGTACATCGAGCGTCGAAACAGTTGAAATTACAACAGCGTTTCGACTAAAACAATGGGTTACGACTACAATAATTCAATATTGATGTCAGTACCTTCGTTTCGTGCTTGAAGGTGTTCAAATGTTGAACTGAAACACAATATTTAACAGACTGTTGCTAACATCGTCTCAGAAACACTTAGCAGATTTGCACAAAAACCACTACGAGGATCGATTTCTGTCTTCCAGAAGGTGGTGGACATTTTCAGTATCTGCTGTAAATCTGTTTTGTAAATTCTTTCCAACAAATAAAAACTAAAATACTGACTAGTTTATGTCGCTAAAGCTTACAACACTCTTGTCTTTATGACTTGAGTTTTAAATGAACGTACCGTACAAGATCTACTCATTACTGAATCGCTACGTCTCTTGATTGGAATAAGAGGGCCTGTCCACTACAGGACAACTGTTAAAGCTCCCAAAATTCAGCTCGAAATGGCGCGTTATAATGAAGCAAGCAAGATAGGTAAGCCTACAGTGTTTCGCTTGTTAGGCACAGAAGGGAGAGTGTCTTTACAGAAGGTTCCGGGTTCATATTTCGCCCCAGAGTCCGTGGTTTTCCTCGGTCTCTCCTGGCAAATGTAGAAGACTTGCATTAAAATTGGCCACCACCGCGTTTATCCATTTAATTTTCGATTTATTACTAATTAATCGCTTTAACATTCGACGCTTTGTTAAATATACCATAAATAAATAATTTTACCTGCTGTTTTGCTCAAAGAGAAGGACACACTTAGCTGAGAGAGGTTTTTGGTCTTCAGAGCTCCGAATCAAAGGCCTTGCCTCTTTTGTGGCAGATCAATGACGCAAATCCCATGGTGAGAATTTGTTGACGAGAGAGATATTTAGTGACGGTGAAAGCTAATAACGCATCTGTGCTCTGAGAGGGTTACAAACCCTACTTGAAAGGGAACAAAGACTAGAAGGGCTACGAGTTAGCAGTCTCTCAATCCAGGACGGCGTAATTGCACCCGTAAATTATGTACACGCAGAC